TGGTGCATCGTCATTGTCTACATGCCGGTGTTTCTGTTGATGGCATGAGTCTAATCTACTAGCTTGTCAACCATACATGGCTCTTTTAATCTTAGGGAAGATCTTTCCGCCACCTGAAGGGACTGAATTAACATTTTTACCTGGAACAGTTGGGAAAATAAGGTGGTCATTTGACGACGATCTGTCTTCTGGTAGTCTTCGTGCTTGGTATCAACGAAAAACCTTCGATGGAAAAGCAAAGTTACTTGCACAAATCATGGATGATGATTCAGTGCCAAGTTTCCTCGCACCTGGCTACGCAATAGAAGGAAACGCAACACTGGCGATAAAAAATGTTAATGAAAGTCATAATGGAATATATCAGTTTTTCCTTAGCCCTTATTACCCATCTACTGTTGTAGTTTTTGTCGCAAGTAAGTGTTTAAGAAAAGCTTTACTACGGACGAAGATCGTACGAATTCTTACAAAAAACTTTTCTTTACGACAAATTCCGAATACATTTATGGCAATCAGCTATATCGGTCCGACAAATCGTTTGGTGTAAAGATATGTCTTGACTGACTATAACGAATAAAATGATGATGCATGTAAACAGTAGTGACGAAGGCATGTTTCTGCACATTTGCCTGTGAAGTGCTACAACCATGGACAAATGATTGCATCGTCAAGATAAAATATGTGTAACTGCGGGTTTGCTGGGCTAGTACTAACACTTTCCACTCTTGATTTTGATTTGCTTGCGTCCTGTATATTTAGGCAAGCCAGTAGTAACAGTCAATTGTTCCAGTCCCATCGCAACAATTGAGGGTGATAATATCACATGTATCTGCCAGGTAAAAGATGGTAATCACCCAGCTAACGTGACGTGGTGTAAAGATGGCGTCCAGATTGCTAAATCGGAAAAAAATAGACAAATATTAAATCTAAACGATGTCGATAAAAAAGATAGTGGAATATACAAGTGTATAGCCCGAAGCTATACCTTAGCAGACGAAAAATCTATTGAAGTAATGGTATATTGTAAGTGAAAGAAAACTTGATAAGGAATGTTGATCTATTCATATGATTTAAAAATTTTGTTTCATTACAGACCCAGTTTCACCTGCAATTTTAAGTCTTACGACCACCCCAGAAGATGTTGTAATTGGTGAATCAGTTGTAATAACATGTGAAGCAATAGCTGTTCCCTTACCAAGCTATACAATAATCCATAATAATACTAAAGTCATCAGTACTCGCAACACGTATATCATAACGCTTTTGAAATACAACGATGCTGGCTCATATGAATGTATTGCAGCAAATCTACTTGGAAAAAGTTCAAAGACTTTTAATTTGTCTGTCGTCGGTAAGATCCATGATAAAATTACACGTATATATGGTTTCTTCCGTTAGTTTATTTGATCATGATAAAGAAGAATGTACAATGTCATTTTTATTCCAGAAATACGAAAAACGAATACTCCAAGTTCGAAAGGTGTCGGAACAGGTAATTGTTGGTTATCATGCACTAATTTATATAAACTGGCTCATCATCTTTTGGGAAAAATACCAGATGACGTTGGATACTGAAATTTGTTTAACATTCAGCATGTGTTATTGTGAACATGCACTTCTAATTTCTTGCAGGGAAACCAGAATTAAAGGAATCACAGAATTGTAAAAATGAAACTGAATGGTACGTCGTTTTGGTATCATCCGTGACCACATTCATCATAGGAATTCTCATTTCCTGCACTGTTTTTTTCTTTCGTTGTAAATTCCGAAGTAGGAAGCCTCAACCAAACCGTGAAAGTCCAAAATCTCAAGTTGATAAAACGTATCAAGAATTAGATCTTTCAAAAATGAACACAGGAGAGAATTATCAGACATTGGCAGCGGTTCCTGGCGCTGCAGCAAGTAATGAAAGTGTAAAAGAAGATGACTCAACTTACACTAAGCTCAGTAAAACCAGAGATATAGAGGAAAACTATCAATCTTTGACTTGAACTTTGGAAAGAAATCTGTCAACGCTGTTGATCTGCGACTGAACTGGCTGTTTGACTTTCATACAAAATCTGTCAGACAAAAGCTGTAATCGTCCTTCTCAAGAAAAACAAACCCACACCCAATAGTTGATTTACCAGTTGGGTATAGCCCCAAGAATTGAGAAACATTTTTATCTTGGCTGTAGATAATGTCAACCTCACACCAGGGACTTTTCTCTTGATATAATTGATAATTTACAAAACAATTGAAATATGATTATTTGCATTACGGATTGTAGCGATTTTTACAAGTTATAATTTTTAAATTACGCTTCATATTTCTCATTTTGTTTACACAGATTTTACAAGTATATATCCTCAAAAAATACAATGCTAATTAAGGCTTATTTCAGACGTCATGCAGAACCTGATGTTAATGAACTAAGGTCTTTGTTTCAGTTTATTTGCTTTCAATTGAGCACATGAAAAGTTCGAAGTCTGAAACGGGCCTATACTACCCGCTAATATTAACCCTATTTAATTCTGTCATACACGGAGAACGGACGTGTCTTTGTGTTATTTGATATTATAAAGGCGGAATTAACTGAAAACTATACACTGTCGAGCAGTGACCAGCATATTCAATATGAATAGCGTCTAGTGGATTATTTCACAGGAATTGAACCTGCATGAACTGATCTAGATGAACAGGTGGCTATACAAACTATGAAATATATTTATCACTTCTAATGTTAACATTTTTATTGCAGGTAAGTATTTATAAAGAGGAACTTTATCGAAATATTGTTGAATTGTTTCATTGCATACGATCCGCTGGAGTGTGTCAAGTTTTTTTTCATGCCAAAACCACATTAATTTTGCATTTGTTCTTCGTGCATTAAAGCCAGCAATGACACGGTTCAAAATTTCATTCCAGAAAACATTAAACTGCTCTAATACACCACGCTAGGTGAAGGTGATGACTTCAGCTGTTTGTGTAAAAGTGAAAATAGAGATCCCCTAGCTAACGTCAGCTGGTATAAAGATGACAAGAAGATTAGTTAAATAAGAAAGAAAAGTGAATTATTGACTCTCAGAAACGTTGATAATACAGACAGTGGGACCTGCAAGTGCCTGGTTGAAAGCTATCCCCATGAAGATTACCAAGATAGAAAAGCACTTGGAATTGAAGTTAATTGTATGCATATCAAATTATATTTCGACTATCAATTTAATCTCATTGGCATCCTTAGTACTGATACCAGACTTTATTTATTTTTTTGATGCTCTTTAATCTGAATAAAATTTGTTTATTCAAAGTACGTTCAGATCTGCTTATCCAGTGATAAAATTATTGACTGTTTCCTTATTTTCATTGGTGGAACTTTCAGATATTTTTTCTGCTTCCTAGTTCGCCTTGAAAGATGAACATTACGTTCACACAAGGAAAAAAGGCTAAAGTTGGTGAACAGATAAACATAACATGCGAATCAGAAGTTTTCCTGAATTACGTTTTACCATAATTCACAATGACACTGAAGTTATTGCTGAAAAGACGTACAACATACCACAAGTAAAGTGGAGTGATGGTGGATTGTACCAATATATTGCATCGAATGTACTTGGCAGTAATTCAATTATTCAAAGTGCCATTGTTTGACCGTGTTAGGTGAGACTGGACAAGTTTTAACTCCATTATTTCTGCACGCTAAAGCATGCATATAATAGCAATTGAATTTAAATGTTTACCACTATAGTACTATTTTTTAGTAGACTTAGTACACTTCCTTCTTAGATGTAGGTTTGATATAAAATCTATCATCTCGATGGGATTCTTTCAATTGACCATAATAAAAAGATGGCGGATGTACATTTTACCAGAATGCATTGCGGTCGGAAATCGTTTAAAAAAGCGAACTGACGTCTTTTAAAGGACAGGCATAAAACAGAAAGTTATTTTCTTCGCTGTGTTAAAATTTCACGTCATTAGCAGTTTTTCTTGCTATCTTTTTTCAGTCAATCATTTTAATGCCCGCAATGCATTATGGTAAAATGTACATGCAGCCATCTTTTTCGTTACGGTCAATTTCTTTGCATCATTGTGAGTTGAAAGTCTTTTAGGTAATTCTTAAACCAAAAATTTCAACCTGAATGTTATTGAGGAGAGGCCACATCTTCCAAGAAAAAAAGACCATGATATTGGTGATACTGTTGTAGTATGGCATATCGTGGTTTTTTTATATCGGGCATCATTTTTGGATGTCTCCTCTCGTACATCGTCTCACGGTCTCGTCATAAATTTACAAGTACAAAGCCCCTGCAACCAAACCCTGAACCTCCAAAACCTGAAGTTGATAAAACTTACCAAGAACTTGATCTCACAAAAATGAACAGAGATGCTAATCACCAGTCACTAGCTGACAGTGACGAATCAGTCTACAAAAAATGACGATGGAAACGAAGGTGATTCCAGTTATACAGAGCTGAGCAAAACTAGAGAAGCGGGAAAAAGCTTATCAATCTTTAACTTGAGCCTGAATTTGACCATGTTCAATTAATGCAGGTCTCTCTCGCCACAACGCCGCAACTCCTAGTATGTGGTTAAGACGTGTAAATAAAGCAAAGGTTAAAGTATTTCTACTGTAAATTAGGAAACGACAGAAGATCCAGAGGAAATAAATACTTTTCGTAATTTATTTCACACATGTATATACAAATTCAAATAATTTAGCTAAAGCATGTTTAAAAAAGGAAGCGATGATAAATATGTTGCGGAACTTTATTGTTGAAACTAATTAATAAAACATAGCTATAAAAGTTTTGGAAGCGAAATATTCTAATAAACTCATAAATTAACACCACACGACGCGGGGGCTCAAATATTTGCATCATGCACACATCACTCATCAACCTACCCAATACAGTGAAGCGGAAGAAGTGCAATATAGCACAATATACGATAAATCTTTAACATCGGATAGCTATCAAATATTAAGTAAATTATTTAACTGGAGCAATGATAAAAGGTATATATGTATGGATCGTATGTAACTATAGGCGATATTTGTTGCAAAAATAAGTTAAAGTTATGCAAGGTAATAGTAATATTGTTTCTTATAATGTTAATATTTGGGAGACCATTTCCTGAACAATTCAGACTCGCTAACACGACTGAGTTAACAGCCATGATTCAACACCCGATTTTACGAAACACACTACTATAGAAGCGTTTGTTGCTGAATGTATTAGTTCTGCCGTAAGTGACAGGCAGATATATGGATAATGAAACATTTCCATGGCATATTTTGTTTGTAACAATGTACAGCTTTGGATAGTTGAACAGTAAGCTCAATATTGTGGTGTAATATTGACTATATAAAGTATAAGCCTGCCGTCTACTCCATACGCTCATACACGTGACTTATTAGAAACCTTGTATATATGTTGGCAGTAAAGACATGCAGACATAAATCGAACACTCGCAAATCTATCTATAGATCAACACTATCTCACAACGTCTGAAAAAACCTGTTTAGCAGTTCAGGTGCATGAGAATTTCGATTTATCATAAGTCCATAACCCGACTAAAAGTTTTATTTAATAAATCCCTTTAATTCCGGGACACAAGGTTGTCATGCTAGTGTCTGCATGTTCTAAAATGATGAAGCAGATACTATTAACTAATGGTATTAATTGTTTCAGTAAAAAATACAAGTCCGAGCTGTTTATACAATATAGAGTAGGGAAATCGAGCACACCTTTGATTGCAAGTTGACGACGTTTGCGCTATTATTTGTCTATATAATTTACAAAACAGGTCTTATAATATCTTGTAATATACTAGCTTTTTTATTTATTTATAGGTTTGCTTCGTAAGATGACAATCCTTGACTTTCTCTTTTCCCTTTATGGTCTCTGTTTTGTATTGTTGTCATGTGAAGGTATGGAGGGTTAACGTGGTATATATGAAAAATTATATAATGTTTTCAGCGACGCTTTTTTGTCGAGATAAAAAAAATGTAGTCAGGACGCAAATTGCAGAATTATCATGCGGTATAAAAGCGTTTTCTTGTCAGATACGATCAGCGATTGCTTCGAAGTCGTTAAATTTACAATATTATAGTATATATCATTTTCTGATAATAAAAATTTCTGAATAACTACATGTTACGACCGTTATTGACCTCTGGTAGCTATACCTGTGAGTGCAATGTCATGTGCGACCGTATATATATACTCAGACTCAAAGTACACTATATAATTATATGCATTTCAATTCAAATTCAAATTGCAGTCGTGTTTGTTAGTCTGAAACTAACCGCATGCATGGCTCTCTTATTAGGAGTGATCCTTTTGCCACCTGGTGGAGCTGACTTAACATTTCTACCCGGACATGATGCAAAAATACAATGGTCAGTTACCGGTGCTCTTACTTCTCTCAGTACTCGGTCTTGGCATTTGAAACACAGTGGAGGTGAAACTCCTACACTTCTCGCACGAATTTTTGGTGCTGGTTCAACGCCAGATTTTCTCATATCTGGGTTTGCAGTAGAAGGAAAAGCAACGTTAGTGATAAAAAACTTTAATGAAAGCAGAAATGGGGAATATCGATTCACCTTTTCCGGTCTGGACCCATCTGATGTCAAGGTTTCTGTTAAGAGTAAGTTTGATAATTTTTTATAATTTAGTCTTCGTGATCGCATGCGATCGCATCGTGTTTAGTAATGTTCGGACAGGGTGACCTACTGCAAATTCAATGCTATCACAAAGGACTGCAGTAAAGTAAAGCAATGGTTGGCTATTAAGAGAATCAGTTATAAAACTGTATGGTGCAATAAAGTCGCTCGTCAGTTACAGCGCTCGCTTCATTCATATACACATGAACGTGCATGGAAAAATAGAAAATCAATACTTTAAAATGAAACTCATTAATTCAGCCCAATATTTTATAAGTAACGATGTAACATTAATTTTTATAGCATTTTACTTATAAAAAAATTTATAGAGTTTCTGCACCAGGCCCCATAACAACGCATAACTGGGAGATATCTATCCTTTAGTTATTCAATAGTTTTCTCTTTGATAGAAATGCACAATTAACACTGGTGACCAGTGCATGGTTAGGTTTTCGGTTTGAAACGTCATAAGCACAAATTTCTGCGGTGTTCTATCAGGGCAATCTGACACTACATAACATGAAGTATGAGTTAAGTATAACACAAACTTGAAGGTTTTCGATATAAAGATAAATATCAGAGAGTTGTATCAGGAAACAATGAGTTTGAGATTTCATTTTGAGAATAAATATATATATATTATATATAGGAACGCTTATAGTAATACCAAGCGATGGTAGATTTATCAGTCCTTGTCCACTCTTTTATGATGCATGGGTATATGTCATTATATTTCAGAGAAGCCAAATGTTATCTTGGACTGTTTCAGTCGCGTGTTGCTAACAATGGGAGAAGATTTCACGTGTTTATGCAGAGGTGAAAATGGCAATCCTGCGCCTGATGTGATTTGGATTAAAGATGGAAAAGAAATTGGTGATAGAAGAAAATATAATAAAACATTAGCAATAAAAACTAACGACTGGCAGAATCGTGGAACATACACATGTAAAGCAGAAAGCTATCCTGACTTAGCTTTTAGAGATGAAAAGTCCATTGAAGTAATAATAAATTGTAAGTATCATAAAATTTCAACTGCGGTATTCAAAACATACTTTAATTTGCATGCGAATATATAACAAATGTTCTTGTTTTGACAGACAAACCAGCCAACATAAAAATTGAGCTTTTGCCCAATCCAGCTGTGATTGATGGCTCAGTTACCATAAAGTGTTCATCTGAAGGTTTTCCTGAACCAAACTACATCATAACTCACAATGACTGCAAACTAGTCACCACTAAGAAAGAGATTACCTTACAAAATGTGCAGTGGAAAGACATTGGGACGTATAAATGTTTGGCGAATAATAGTCTGGGGAGTGACTCAAAATCCGAATTTTTAGAGGTGAAAGGTATGACCATTTTCAAATACTGTAGTACAGTAAGGACACAACACTGGGATCATGCTGTTTGGATAGTAATATTGTGCTGTCGAATGTTTATAGGGCAGTGATTTTAGTCAAATTAGATCACGTTGCTTTCAAATACATAAATGTTGAAGGTGTGACTATGACCGATATAGGCCTAGGTAAATTTCAAATCTACACTTCATTGGAGCACTATGTGCTAGCAAAGGATTTCGATTAAATCAAAACAATCAAAATTTGTTGTTTTGCGATTGCATTAATGTTTTATACCGTATTTATTATTAATTCGGAAGAATATGGTTTTGTGATAATTTTAGATTTTCAATAGATAAAATGGAACAAGGACCTACAACACCAGCGAATTCATCAGGAAGTACAGGATCCACAGAAGCTGACATAAGAGGTATAAATTTATGAAACAATCGTGAATCGTGCATTTTGAAATGCATTCCGAATTTATTTTAATTTCCTTTTTGTTTAATAAGTTAACTATTCAGTAGTTATCTTGCATGAGATAACGTTTGTTATCTTGCATGAGATAACGATTTCAGCACATCAGCATTTCTTCTTGACGGAATTTTTAGGAACTGAATCCAGTTTTTCAGGCGATTTGTAATACATATCTTTTCACGTCTTTATTATTTAGACAAAACATGTTCAAATGATTCCAGCTGCAGTGGAATTACCGAATGGCACATCGTTGGGACTATGATGGCTGGAATCGCTATTGGAATAATTCTTTCCTATATTGCCATATTTTCTCGTCGTAAATTACGAAATCGAGAACCCCAACCAAACCCTGAACTTTCAACATGTCATGTTGACTTGACTTATCAAGAACTGGATCTTAAAAAAATGAATAAAGAAGACAATTACGAATCATTGAGAGTAAATGCTGCAAGAAATGGAGATGACTCAACTTATACAGAGTTAAGCAAAACCAGAGATGTCGAGAGCAATTATCAATCTTTAAAATGATCAATTTGAAATTTTAGTATCATTATTGTGAAGTTATATCCCCCCACTGCATGCTTCAAGAGAAATCATCATATGTAATCATGCGATATTTGTTACAAAAATAAATGAAAGTTATGCAAAATAGGTACAGACAAGTCATGGCAAATTCGGTTGCTTATATTTCAAGTGCATGGTTGGGAAACGATTTCCAAGGATTATATTTGAGAACTCCTTGGTTGTCTACAATTATCTATAAAAACGATCATGTCTATAATTATTATATAGCATAAATTCGTTCAAATTGGTACGTGGCATTTTGATAAAAAATTGTTGAATTAGTTGAATATATATAGAACTCACTACTCACGTATTAAGTAAGAATAATTCCTTTACGGCTTTGGTCCGTGTATCTTTGGCTGAAAAAAGTCAAAAGAAGCTTGGTTTGCCAATTTTAAAGCATACTAAAAGCATTTAAGCTTGGATTTGATGCTGAAACGGCTTCACATTGCACAAATCTTTTCAAGTTTTGCTTACTATTAATATTTTAAAATAGGATGATCTCGTTCAGCAATTATAGGTGATGCCATCAGACCAATGCTCTCAGCTGTATGTAAACTATGAAATATACCTGGCAATTGGCTTTGACTTTGTGCAACCGATATGCAACCGCTTGTATAATTGAAGGATCGTGTGTACTCCAGTGAAATGGAGCTCAGTGATTGGTTGAGAAGAACTTCAGCGGCCCATTACTTTCCCCTAATGGACCAGCACTTTCCCGTAATGGCCGGCGTTACCAGATCCATGACGAGATGAAAAACAGAGAAATTCTGAATGAAATAGGCACAAATAAATGCTAAAGTTCCACTCCTATACGCCGCCATATGAAATTTTAACCGCCCGTGCTTGGAGGTCTTGTTCAGTACCTATGCAAGCAGCATTCATGATCCGCCATGTTTGGTCTCACTTCTAGATTAGACAATGTATTAGAGCGAGCCTTTCATATAATATATAAAGAGTTCACTGGTAGGAACTGAGCACGTCATCGAACCTGGATATGCGTAGTTAAGAACGTCTGTCTGCGCATCAGTCTGCTCATAGCAATGTAAGGGCCGTCTGATGTGAAAATTGCCTAAATTTCACACTTTTTGAACATAAAATCGGGTTCATATTCATTTAGAAACAAAAAGACAAACAACACGAGTGCGCTTAACATGACGAAAGAGAAAGTTATGCCGAACGTTTGATGCCGAAAATTGTTATGGTGATTTCAATAGTCTTGGGGGTTTTCGGACACCCTGTAGAACAAAGTGCGTTTAAAAAGACATTCACTACAATTTGGTTGAACCGTACAGAAATCATCAGGCGATATGATGCAGTGGCGGCTCCGCGGGTTAGGAAGAATAAATTACACACCTTAATTTTAAACTCAAAATACCTCAATAACAACACTATTAGTTATTGTTGTGCAAAGTATATTTTTCAGTTTTAACTAGTATTTATCAATGCATATTACTTTTGTAATATTATTTAACATTTTTATACCACCAATGCGTGATTGCATGCAGGCCGTAGCTAGAAGCTTAATTGGGGGGGTGTATATTGATAAATTCATCTATAATGCCCGACTGACTGCTTTTGTACGCTATTGTTTCTGCGGTATAGATAAACATGAATATAAAAATTCTGTAAATGTACCCCCCCCTAAATTAATTGCATCTATTTTATCAATATTATGTTTAGGATTTGAATCTCAGTGTGGTTATAAGCAGAGGTGCAATTATTTTTTCGACATCACTCCGTCCACTCGATGTGAAATTTGGATCGGGCTAAGGAAAACTAAACTTTATATTTCATAACCTTAAAGACTTACTTATGATATGTAAATGATATTGTGCAGTTTCGTAAGGAATTTCCTTCATTGTTTGAGCCTTCAACACGAGACATAAATACGCTTAGTAAAACGGGCGAAAAATACGAGACCACCGCCACGGCGATTAAAACATTTGCAAGTAAATGTCGTCGCCAGTATCCGAACCAGACGGTTTTGATGGCAATATTATATAACCAAATCTGAATCAAAGTTGAAAGCCAGGCGAATACAAATTCGATCGCTAAACTAATAGCAATACGAGAAGAAATTCGCCTGATTTCATCGTCTAAGGCAACATCAAAAGTGCTGAACCGATAAAGCACCATATAAACTTGACTCAAAATGAGGGTTCCAAATTGAGACAACATTTCTTGTATTTCAAGGTCTGCTTGTAATCTTCTGTTACGTGGTGAGCGATAAGGCACTGGTCTCCATTGATGTCTCTCAAGTTGTCTTACTGCACGGCCCCATACGTTTTCACGAAAATGACGAGTCACCTAAAAGTAAAATTTTTAACCATAAAGTTAAATTTTCATCGAATTCAGTACAGCTATAAGCATTAAGGCTATTTATGGATATAAGCTTTCCATATAATTGGATTTAGGTCACTGATCCCACGTCAGATCCGCACAGTTTGAAACTGCAAAACATTACCTTAAAATTGGTTACCCTATAGATTCATTTTTGGAGGAGTTTTTCATTCGTTAAAATAATCATAGCAAATATCTTCGACAGTCGACACCATTGTAATTTATATTACATTTTTTTACAAATGAGCAGCGGGCGGAATCCTAGTCATTCCTGCAATTTGATTGGCTGTAGCCGCAGGTGGAATTTTACAATATCTGTCCACGTTCCGGAATCCTATTTTCTATGCTCGAGCGAATTAAAGCGTATTTGTTTTTCTAAAGATATATTCTTTATTTTAAACTAGCTATATGGGCCAAATTAACACGATAAATTGAAGTGAATTAAACAAATGAGGTTTTAATTGCTTATGTTTTTGTCACCATTGCTGAGTCTGACCACGCAATGATAGTATAAGACCGAACGCCGCTCCTTGTAAAAAATAAATACTTTATTTACCGTTTTGGTCGGTCGGATAGAAAAATATTTCCCCTCGGTCTCATTTTTTTTAAAATTTATTTAACATATTGAAATGATTGTCGAATCTATATTAATAATATTCGATGACAAGATATTTATATTCATTCAGACAACTATTAATTGCTAGAGAGATACAAATAATACCCCAAACGTTAAAACCGGCTTTAAACAAAACTATCTTTATAATATAGTTAATAAAAAGGAAATATAGGTATATCTTCAAGTTTATTCGACAGCACACTGAAACTTGCAGGCATGCGACGGGAGACACGTTGATATCCCTGCATGACAATAAATTATAAGCGACGTACAAGGATTATGTGCTAGCGATTTTAGTACTTTGTCAGGAAAATTGGGGTTATTTCTGTATACCATTTCATCAGAGTCCAGTGCATATATATAGTTTAGTTTAAATTTTGTTTTAGGTTACGATCTCAAGCAACTCGAGCAAACAATTGTGACAAATCTTCAAACTTGCAGCAATGTTTGTGCCCCCTGCTGCCTTGAGTACAATAAGTTAAAAAAACAACTGTAATAAAATAACCGCTTGTGCTACCTATGCCAGCCGTATAAACTCCAAAGTACTGTTTTAGAATGGTCTCAAAGAATTTTGACAGATAATCAAGCTCTGCGACCGTATTTACGCAGCAATAATTGGACATGTGTCAGTTTATATCATGAGCGGGAAGCTCCACATGTTATGTCATGATTGTAGTCGATATTGTTGTTTTATTCAAATATGACTCAAATAATAGTTCAATTGCATTTCTGCTGGTAATTAGCTACATGTGGTAAGTAAAGGAAATTCAGTTGAGAAATTTAAAAACATTGCTTAAAATTTCTTATAATTATTAGTTATTGTACTCAGTACGCGGGAGAAATAAGCACTTTCCACTAAGCTAAGTTACTCGCGCGAACTGCAGCAGGAAGCAGTTCCACGAGAATTTTTCCCATATCGCTTCCTATAACGCGAATAAATTCGCCTAGTGGGAAACGGGCTATAATCGTGCACTTTAAGCTCAAAATGCTCGATCTCTTCTGAGCTTAATACGAAAAGCAATATAGTTATATATGCATGCAAAATTAGCAAACACGTTTTAACCGAACCTTGAATGTTATAATTTGATGGTCAATATTTTCGATTTTTTATTAAAACATCTTTATACATGCATGGTGACTAATCAACAATACAATATTTACAACTGAATTGTTGCTTTTCATTAGGCCGTGTAATGAACAAATAATCCCCCTGATAAAGACACTAGACCGGAGTGTCGAAACGTTGGGTCGTGAAAGTTAATCTTTGTGTGGTGATTACTTTCATTTATTAAAACCAGAGTAGCGATAATAACGATGGAACAAATAATCATGATAAACAAAATTAAATAATCAATAATCAATGATAACTAATTGTTGAAAATTTCAATTAATACATAGAACTTTTGAAACGTTACCGTGCAGTATCGAGAATATATTGTATAATTTAGGCTTACCTGAGCAAGGATATAAAATATTCCGTGCAATAAAGAAAACGCAATAAAATATTTCAACTCTGTTAGCTCGGCTTGCATCATCCGGTACAAGGCGACAGGAGCTAAATAGTTGAAGTAAACCAGAATATACGACGATTCGGGACTCGCAATGCCAGTAGAGTGACACAACACGACGTACTTCGTAATAGCAACTGGAAACAGGGAAAAGAGAGGAATAATAGCCGCAATCAAAGCTTTGTAAACTTCACTTGTTTGTTCATTGAAAAAAGGAACAAATATATAGCGATACGACATTGCCATAGCCAAGGAGAAAACAAACGTCAGCCCAATCCTGACGATTATGCTTTTTCTCGACTGTTTCGTTGCGTGCGAAATTTGGAGACAACTTAACACCAAACCAAGTAAGAATATTAAATTCACAGGATATCTCTTGTACGAATCGATAAAATTAGGACCGGCAGAGAAGATAAATAAGTATGCCTTGTATATCACAACCAAAAGTCCCATAATTAAACCAATGTACAGTAAAGGTTTATGCCTTCTGAGGAATACTGTGCCGCCGAATAATAAGGCGATTGTTGCCGGGAACCAAAAATTGAGTAGCATTACTGGAAATGATTCGCCAATTAATTGCCACTTCATAACTTCAACTGGAACAGAGGTGTTTGAGTAGTACACGATGCCGATACATTTATCAGTTGTTTCAATGTCCAGATAGGCAAAAATACCAGCGAAAATGCTTATAAAAATCGCAGATAACATTATTGAAGCAACTGTTTGAAGACCTAGAATAATCGACGGCAATAACGGACCTCGAAGAGTTTTGTGTGGCAAAAACCAAGTGAAATGCTCATCAACAGAAATATCGTTTTCAATGGCGTCGAAATCGCGTGGGTCATGCAATTCCGCTTCGAGGTTCTCCTCGTATCCTACAAGAAATTGTTCATATTCAAAGTTATCTTCTTCCTAAACTTCTTGATATGAGCAGCGCACCTCTGCCAACAACCATAGCACGCACCAAAATAAAAAATCAACCATCTGTTCTAAAAACATCGTTGAGACCTCCAAGCAAGATTTCCAAGCTATACGAGCATTAACATTTCGATCGTTCAATCAAACTAACGAACTGCTAGTCAGCATTCAAAATTATTGCCCAGCAGTCAGGTATTCAGTACTGCCATTTCATATGTGGCATGTCAAATGGATGGAGATTGTCATCAGTTATCCGAACTTAGTCACCATGAAAACCCAGCAGGAAACAGGTAAATTAAGTAGGATTAAAATTATTAACGTGCTAATAAAATCACCACAATACAACACGAGATCAGTGGGAATGGTTGCTTCATTCAATATTTACCCGCTGGATATATTCGATGTTGGTGAACCGCAGAGTGCAAAACGACCGAAGATATGAAGGCTGTTTTCGACTTTGCCGAATTTTCTGTCCGTAGCTTGAGCTTTCTTTATTTCCTAAGCTCTGGAGCAAATTTAATTGCAACAAAAACAAGATCTAATTCCACCTCGCGCGCATGATTTCGCAAAGTGGAAAACAGCTGATTATACGTGCGCTGTTTACCACAGAGATTTCATGTTAATTAAAGCATAGAGATTATGAATAATTAACACTAGATGAGGCATTAGTATCGAAAACATCAGTCCAAAAAGGGAGCGCGCTAATGGGGGGCAAATTCAAGTCCCGCAGATGCTAAGCCAAGCGGTGATTGGCTAGATCAATGCCTCCTTAGCAACAACGTTAGCAACAACTAAATATACACTAGCCATGATACAATATATTTCTGGTCATGATATAATATACATTTCATTATTGCCTTCAATATGTGTATGACCGTAGCTTAGTACTTTTATTGCAAAAAGTATTTACGGTTACGTATTCAAGAAAACGTCTTGATAGGACATCGAGAAATTCTCTATATTTCGTAAAATATGACATAATGACATGAAATTATGTAAATGCGTATGTAACTTCAAATAGCAGGCCATTCATTGTCATCAGAGAACATATGCGTAGGCGTGATTGGACATCAATGTACGATTCCAAGGGGATATTACAAACATATTATAAATTTAAAATAAAAATGGGCGGTTTCGTTCTTATCATTTCATTTTTGCTCGCTTTAGATTTCGATATTCATAGGCAAACCAGACAATTCCCAAGGTCCAGGACAAAAACAATGCAAAGCAAAACCACAAGAGACGCGTCTTATTGAAAATAAAGGACGAAACTGTACGGCTTAGCAGAAACCCTAAATGAGATGCAGCGAATGAGCTGCCCTGATAAAATCCAATATCCTTTGGATCTGTAACTTTAGACAAGAGCGAAGCACACAAGGAAAAAGAATAATACGGAATTCCGAGACAAATGTATGGAATGAGTATGTAACCCCCGTAAACACCAAACATACGGTCCCAACCAAAAGCAAAATACGTCAACATTGAAATAGCGGAGACCTGCATTAACATTGCTCCGATCAACAGACGTGTTTCCCCGCAATATTGTGCAGCGGCGTAAAATATAATGAACAAACCCATCGAGAATAAAGAGCTAACGAGGAAAAGTAATTTAACGTGGAGAAATTGGAGATGAAAATGCTCTTGTGCGAGCAATGGAACATAAAACGTCACCGTTGTGGAGCAAAAAAGTGCCAGAACTATTAGGTAAAGCAACAGAAACACCGTAGAGTGAGAACCATATCTTTGTGTTTGAGGTGAATATTGCTTATCCAAAACGTCATTTCCGTTATCTTCACTATTATCCTCTTCATCATCATCCGTGACTCTTTTGGTTCCTAACTCCTTCGGAAACCACAGTGCATTTACAAACAACACAAGCCATATAAGCGCCAGGACGATTCCTGGTGAGTTACCAGCGTCAATCTTCCATCCGAAGATGTTTATATTAAATGTCAAAAATACGCTTACTGTTGGACCAAAAAGAGATCCGAGTGTGAACATTCCATCATAAATAATGCAAACTTGGGCAACATGTCTCTTTGGGGTGTACAAAATCATTTGTCCCAAATATACTCCAGCAGATCCATCGACAAGCCCACTTAATAATCTTCCAGCCAGAGGAAAATATGGCGAGAATGGAATTGCATATATCAAATTAGCGACGACCTTCATGAACAAACTCATGACAATGATAAATTTGATGTGTCCAAATTTGTCCGCCAATTTTCCAACGATGGAGCCGGTCAAAAGTGCACCAACTGGATACGCAGAAAGAACAAGACCAAGGAATGTCACGGTTTCACCAAGTGACTTGATGTAATACCAGGCTGTTGGTGCGATGAAGAATTCTTCTGAACCATCAATAAAAAATCGTATTGAAATCGCCGCAAATACCCACGTTTTCATGTACGTAAACTTCATGTTGTCAAATTAAAGGGAAAGGATATCTTTTCCTGGATGTCAAAAAAAATCCGGTACGTCTTGTCTGAGTTATGCCTATAACGGAAGTACAAGATGAGGATACCTTGTAGCATTCAGGTAACTCTCGGCTTGTCATTGACAGTGCCGCTGCTAGAATGATTGATGTGGGCCGAGACTGAATAAAATGTAATCAATACATTTTTTTGCATGCCATAGCAGTAAAAACAATCCCTTCAATAAGATATCTGTTGCGAATTTCGAAGACACAATGAAACTGAGGCAAATAAATTGAATATTAAATGTTTTTCAGAAGAACGAAGATGGATAAACCGAGCTTTCACCGCTGGCGCCAGTTGTATAAAACTCTTAAATACATTTTGTGTATTTAATTCGTAATTAACTCAGAAATACACCACTCTCATTCGCCAATTCTGTCACTAACCATAGTTAAAACAATGTTTTCATACATGCAATAGGCCCCTGGCATTAGTGTCGGAGATTTTCACACCGGTCGCCTCACACATATGAACACATTCCGGCATGTGGAGTCGAATGAAATAAAATATGAATAAAACAATGCGGATTCTTGTAGATTTTTCATCTTTTGTTTCAAAAGTTAATTTTGAAAGACAAAAATATGCCCATGTAGCATAATCAAAGCGAAATATTTTTTCTCGGTCAATTGCTGGATATCGCAGAAAATGTGCACTGCATTTTATGGACAAAGCTAGGGCTGCCCACTTGTTTTAACGAAGCCTAAGAGCAGGTTGCATGACCACTATCCCCCATATATAGGTGAGTTGGCCCAGCATAGTATAAGCAAATAGTAACCCACTTCAATCGGAACCTTTGTGTCCGCCATTACTCTGGCCAGGCAATGACACTGGACTAGCTTGTCTGCAATATCACGGAAAAATCGACTAACCAAAATCAGGGGCACGTTTTAAGACCCAATAGGTCTACACCTGGCCCGAGTAGACCCAATAGGTCTACTGGGGCCATGTGTATTATTGTAACTTTTAACTATATTAACGCCTCGCATTTTTTGTGCAGTGTGCATGTCTACTACTGTACACCATCTGCAAAGGAGCATAGCTGCTCAACACGACAATAGGTCGTGTAACACATATACTCATGTGTACAGGAAAGAAACTAGTCATGCATAAGAATAACATGTACAGTGTGTATAAAAAAATTCGAATCCAACTTTGACAAGCTGCTGTGTATAAAATACTAAAGTAAACGATATAACTTTTATATGGCAACAAAGATTAGCATATTTAGTTTACGATTATACCGTTCTTATATCGACACGACCAAAACTGGCCGAGTTATCGTCTTTTAAAAATTGTTGCTCGAAATCAAATTTTTCCGCCGATTGGAATTCGAGATGAGACCTCCAGACAAAAGAAAATGCAAATTTAATTAATAGAGGCATTGTGTTCTTCAAACTTCTATCGTTGAACATTGAATAAGCAGAATTTTTGCGATAAATTTGCGTTTTAGTTTTCAGTAATGATTAGATTTTAAAGCCCTTTGGGACTAAATTTCAATAAAACAAACGTCCAGTTCCCATCGGCGGAAAATGGTGATTTTTATGAACTTTTTTTGTCGAACCAGTACTTCTTCATCTTTCAACAAAACTACACGTACAACGTGTCATTTGAAAGAAAAATAAATGACTTTAACAATGGTGTAAAAATCAACCAAATTTTTCAAATATATTTTGCATTATTACACGCAAAATTTCGATTCGAATTTTTTTATACACCCTGTATTATAGCAGCAAGTTTTTGTGTAAGTATGTATGGAAATGATATCGGGTTGTCCATATGTTACATGTGTTAGTCTGTTACAGTTTTTCAATCATGAAATTGCTTTGTATAGCTACCCCATCTTGTCCTATTTCATGCTTGGTTTTCCATCGGTTTGCGTTTAGATTAAAGCCGGCTTCTTGCGAAAAAGTTTATTTAACAAGTATTACGTTTTAGGATTCGGTGATTGCAGGGGGAATTCGTGAGACATCTGTAACTTATTTTGGTTATTTTGGACAAGATCTAATCCAAATTTGACTGAACTCAGTTTTGCGTATATAAAAGTAAATTAAGCCCCAAAATTCATTTAAATCTATGCATATTAAAGGCATATTTCAATGTGCCTTGCATGAATGATTCGTGGGGAAAATATTGTAGCATCAGTGTATCACTATCAATGCTTGAAGTTGTCATACTTGACTAAACTAAGCAAATACAAGACTGATCATGAAATCACAATTGTTAGCTATTGCCAAAATTATAACCACAATTTCCGTTTAATTTAAAACGAATGAAGGGAGAAGAATACTGAAATTTTCCCAGTAATAAGTTATGTATCTTAGCATATATACAGATATAAGTTTTATTCATGTGTCGAAAACCCCCGCAATAGACAAGCTAGGTCAACGGTGTCATATTTCTTGCCGAAACCACTGCCGGCTGGAAAGTGAAACGTAACCCTTGTATTTTACAAATACTATTTAGCCAATATGCGTAGTTTCATCGTAATCTATACGATTTTCACAGAAGACACTTTACTTTCTTAGCTTAAAGGGTCAACCTACAGATGTATGTAAATATCCAAGATCTGATATACGTTATAGACCGCACTTGGACTTGAGTATTCGCGCTGTAGGCAAAGGATCATCGAGTGAAGCGATCAAATTGACTGCAATGAAATTAATATAGGAATTTTCCTGTGTCATTGCCTTTATCATAACAACCGCTACACTAGCAGCAGATAGATGGCAAATATTTCACATGCTTTTGAGGTACAACATTACTTAAAACAAACTTATTCTACACGTGGATGCACTTGGTTGTAACACATGTGCTGCGACTCAGCCTAGACTAAAGTCAGCATATTGTAATGAATACTTACAAATAATTGAGAGATATAGGACAGCACTGGCGTCTAAACACATCAAGAATGTGAAGATGGCCTGTGAATTACTGGCGAAGAAACAAGACTGAATTACCCCGACGCAAGCTGTCTGAAGAAATCTGTTGAAATATGAGACGGCGAGACCTACAAAGTGTCATGCAGAGCAATATAATTCATATGTCTTAATTCGTGACGGAAACTATGATGTCAGCAGCATCCTTACCCATTCGTGCTACGCAATATCGCCCAGGTTTGTTCATATTGACAATTGTGTATACAGGGTGTCCCAAAAAAAACGCAACCACTTAAATATGCAAGAATATTAATATTGTTCGGGTTTGCACCATAGTTCAGTTAAAGTGACTTTTAGCATTGTAAATGAAGGATTAAAAATCATTTTCAATTCCCAGAAGTGCTTATCTATTGCGCTTTAGAGCTGTATTAATTTTCTGCATATTTAAGTGGTTGCTTATTTTTTGGGACACCCTGTATATTTTCCGAGGTAATTGCCGAAATGTGCAGCAGCCATCAACTCATATCATGACAACATCTTAAGCAACAGTTTCTGGGGCTAAAATTTCTAACCCCAACGCCCCAAAGTCTAGCAGCAGGAACATTTGTGGTCAGTCTCCTGCAATGTTGCCTTTCGATGGTACGCTCCTGCTTCGGTTGGTCACAGACTTTGCACATACCTCTTCCACCTTACGACCTGGTTATGACGTCAAGAATGCAAGGAAAATTCCGCTCCCCAACAGGTGAATTAATGCACAAAGACACGAATGTTTATTTTCTCGTAAATACCATGTATCAGGAGAAAACAGCCGTGCTTCGATCCACGAATGACAATTTTCCCGCAATAGTTGATGCAACATTTAACAGTGCAACACCGGGTGGATGTTGTGTTTAATATAATTTATACTGTTTATGCTTACATATTTTAAGTAACTATAGGAAAATTACTTTCAAAAGAAATCATTAGGGCGAAAAACGAAAAAAATTTAAGTAGAAGACAGCCCTTAGAAGTCGAGGCTTTATAACAATAAACAAATAGAGGCAGCGAGAAAATTATTTGCAAAAATATATCGAGAAAAATGTGTGAATTCTTCCGAATTTAAACAAACGGCAACGAGTATATTATGATGCATGGCATTTGTTATTAGATAATCAGACACAACACAAATAACAGTAGTTACCAGACACAACACAAATAACAGTAGTTACCTGACTCTATAAGTTAACACTTAAGCTATCGGATTAAAAAAATGTATATACCATCTTGTTAACTTTAATATTTTATTTCAAGATACAATAATCAACAATATTGTTTTAAATGCATATACCAATAAGCTATATAAGATATATCGGCAGGTATATAGTAACAAAGTTTCTTGATATTGTCATATTCACTAAGCTTTGAACTTTTTCAAGGTTGAAATAACCCTTTCAATACCTATAATAATTATGAAAAATATTGGATTAAAATAAAAGTGATGACTAAATATCAAAGCCACCTTCAAAAAAAATTACAAAAATCCTCCAAGGAATAAGGCCACTTTTCCGTTAAATTTAGCTCGCTGCGAGTAATTTCATCCAATCACAATGCTTGACAGTTTATTTTAATCACACGCCAACACTCGCAGCGAGATTGCGAGTTGATTTTGCGGAGATTGGAGCGACTCCAGAAGAAAAACGTAAACAAAAACACAAACACACACGAACAATTATAATAACACGTAATTTTTACGAATAGTTATAGTGCACCTTTACTTTCTTGTTACAAAATTTTGTGCCATAGAGAAGAACAACAAATGAAACATGCAAAAACCCAAACAACTTTAACACAATGCGGATGATAAAAAACAAATTCCGAATAGACAAGACATCTCGTGAGTCAATAATATAAGATTAAAACAAGACACAGGTGGAGACTGTAAATTTTCGACTTTATTTCATAGTAATCTTCTTTCTGTCTGAAGATGACTTTGAAATAATTCGAAAATTTACAGTCTCTGTGTGTCACCGACCCGCGTCTAACTGTCTTGTTTGAATCTTATATTATTGACTCTCAAGATGTCTTGTCTATTCGAAATTTGTTTTTTACTATCCGCATTGTGTTAATATAAATTGTTCCTAAAAATTGTGAGTTATCATAATTATTCGTGTGTGTTTGCGTTTTTGTTTACGATTCCGTTTCCCGGGAAAGTACCAAGGGTCCAAAGCCCCAAGCACCAAAATTTAAAATAATAAAATTTTGTGCCATTTTTTCCTGTAATTGGATAGTTACACTGAAATACTGAATCTGATTGGTTATTGTGGTGCAGAGCTTCAATTTTATTGGCTTATAGATGATGCGATTAATGCTCAAAAATAGTGCGATTTGGGAATTAGTCACACTATTTTTAAACAGATAAAATCAGATTTAAATCAGATTGCAAGAAACACCATTGATTTCAAAATGATCATGAATACAATAAATATTAAAAATAAAATGACATGCATAAACTATAAGTTTACTTCATAGGATCTTACCTATTTTAATTTTTGCAGGATCATCAGCAATTACTACTCTATACCAACCAGGTTCACAACAACAAAACACTTTGCCTGCGTTAATGTAAACAGCATTCTCTAACATCATATCGCCTAGACGTTTCTCCGCTTCAAAACTTTGTGTATCTAAATACTGCCGTAGATCAATCCATACAAAAAGACCAGAACAGCTTGGCACAACAGGAATGTTCTCTTTTTTCAAAGCCTCCGTAATCACTCTGTGACATTCTCGTAACCGTTTGTGGTTCGTTGGAATGAGAACTTTATCCAACCAGTCTATCACACGTTAAAAAAGGAGATAAAACTAACTGTAGCAGGATTAACAACCATTTTGCTCTCCAATTCCTAGCCGTATTTCCACTTTCACACCTGTTAATAATTCCTCTAATATTGTATCCTTTAAAACACCCTCATCCTTTCCAATTTACCTCCTGCTATTACACGACCCTTCAGGGGTGAATCCAACACTAGTGCACAAATTTGCATTACAAAACAAAGTGGTTCTTTTTAGCAGTTTTCTTGTGTCATGCAAATTAGTGCACTAGTGCTGGATCCAACCCTGCGACCCTTCAATTTACGCCTAATTCTTACGCCTAATCCAGAGAAAGCTATGTTCGCGCATATAAAAAAATACACAAAAGACAATACAAAAAAAATTCGTATAAACATACCATAATCAATTACAAGGTTTTCTAGCATTGCCTGTTGTTGGAAGAAAAATAAGATGCATATTGGTGTAAACATGTTATGAGAAAAATGACATTTTATTATAAACAAGACGCCGTTCTGGCGTTAACTCCGGCGCACGTGCCAGTCTTCAATATAGAGCTTCTGAACATAAACAATACAGTTCGCGTATTGTTTTGCATACATATTCGCATTTAGATGCCTTGCGAACCTAAATGTTCGATCGCGAAATTCAGAAGCACATCGCAGTATAAAAGTTCAATTGTTCAAAAATGTAAATAAACCGCATGATACATTCGCTTCGTCTTACACTTTGCCTTTGGAATTCGCGCCTATATAGTTGTATTAAATCTTCGATCCTGTGCAAACTACGCGACGTGTCAACGCGCCCATACACGACCACATCATTTTGTTAAACGGCGAAATAGCAGCGATATTATTAAAATAGGACCGGGTCTACATGTATTAAATATATTCTTACCCCAATTCAATCTAAACTTAATCGAACAGCATGAAAAGAACGGTTTATTTGTTCCTCTTGAAGGAATTGCCGTATCATGCGAGCGAAATCGAATCGCGCATTGGAAAATTAGCCAAAGCTGTGCACCACAACTCTTGGGAGATAAGACTGGGACGTAGATAAATACGGTCACATACACATTTTAAATACTAGTATATTTCGCGCCATTACACACTTGCGACGACGAAAGATAAAAACAAAAAAAACAAACAAAAAAAACCAAAAAAAAACCGGGGCGAATTTTCAACTCCGTCGCTGACGCCGGAGTAATGATTTAAATACGAAAGTGATAACTGTAGAAAAACAATAAATAATTTTCTAGATTTATATTTGGGGTACCTGAACACATACGTTAACAAGGCCAGGAGATTTTTGTAACATAAATATTGCGGCAATTACCACAGTAGACGCCTTGCTTGCCTAAGTATAGTGAACCTTGATTTTCTTGTAGAATGAGCCATTGTTACAAGTCTTGATTCTTCATGCACGTAACCTGCTTGCATGCTTGCATGTGTCGGGGCCCTAATACAACTTTACGCCATTAGTTCTAATTCCTTACAACAGGCCCTGATCAATACCTAAAATATACCATTGAAAATTGGTATTTGGTATCGGGGTTTTGACGAGTACTTCGCGGACGAGTACTTCGCGGGTATAGTTCACAATTGAACAAATGCTTTTTTAATTTCAAAGCCTACATTTTCCAAAACACAATATTTTACATGCACTATTTTGCTTTCCCATACTTCAGCTTCAATGTGAACAACGATTTCAGGAAACAAAAAATGCCAAATTTGAGAAATTTCAAATAGTAGTTAAACTTTTGCTACTGTTATAAATAGAACAGATGGGCAGAATCGAATATAACCTCACTTTAAGCTCGCTAATAATAATGATATGTCTCCGGCAGCGATCACTGGGAAAAAATATCTCAGGCGTAAAAACATTATCGAATTCACAGCCACCATGTCTGAGAATGGGAAATAACAACCAAGGCATCTGAAATTGCGTGAAAGGCCTATAGGACTAATTGTCAAATAAAATTCATTTCTCGATAAACACAACCTAATATCTCTCGAATAAACTATATTTCCTAATATTTATTGAGCTATAGTTCTTATAACTTACCCTGCGAGCAGAGCCGTACGAAGCAAACCAGTTTAACCGGTATTTAATGCGCGGTTCGCGAAAACTGTAATCGCGCGCATTAAATACTGGTTAAACCTGTTAAACTGGTCAACTGTTACTGCGGAGTCTCTCTCCCCCCCGATTTTCCCCTCTCCCCCCCGATTAAAGAGAAAAGAAAATAAGAAACCCAAATAAGGCTGTGCTCGCCGGGTACTTATATAACTACACATGATCACAAAATTTCGACTAGTTTCATAGAGAACAACAAAATATATAATCCCTATTTTATATTTTGATTTAGGTAATTGGAACCATATTGGTGTTCGTATACGTCAATTTATAACAATTGTCCGAAATGCTGCAAAATGGATTTTTATTTCGACAAATTTTCGCTAATTGGCTAAAATATGGGCGCGAGATCGCGTGGAAGAGGAACTTAATATTATCAAGACCAATAAAAGTTGCTAAAAAAATTAATAATACCTGAAGGAACGTAGCTATGGCGTAAAAAGGAGCAATCCTACGTAGAGCTTCTAAGATATCTTTATTGCGTGTGTAGACAGCTCCTGCACGCACACCTGATAAACCAAAGTCCTGAAACGATTATTTATTCCATCTGGTTATCGTGTGCAATAAAATTAAATCGAACAAGTTTTTGAGAAATGTTATCATCATTACGAAAAACATATTGATTTACCAGCCTTCATCATGTACTGGCTAATGCAAAATATATTTGAATGACTGCTCAGTATTCGTCAATGCAAGTAAATTTGTTTTGTTTAAAAGAACAATAAACTCCCTTGCTAAAAATAAGCCTGATTACCTTACTAAATCCCCAGACCACATGTAATCGTTCCGGACTGATTGGACTAAAACATGGAGTATGCACTATATTCAGGGCTGACACTAGAACGACATTCGGGGGGGGGGTGGTGGTGGTGGTGTGGGAGGGGGGTGGTGGTGTTTACTCATATATTCAGTTCTGTCCGATGAACTTATTTCGTTCGAACTAATGCAATAGCTTGCAATAACTTTTGCAATAGCTTGCAAAAGAAATCCGTCGGGCAGAACTGAGTATATAAGTATACTTCAAAACACGAGTCTGGTAGGTTGGTATACAGGCAGACTGGCTAGGATAATTAAGCAAATATGGCCTACTGGCGATATTTCCAGGCATTTACAACTTTCCCTCAGTCTCATGTGTTCGTATAACCAGTATAACTATCGATGACATGACATGAATATCCTGAGATCTTACCATGCGCTGTAGGAAAAAAAAACTAACCTGCCTACGCCGTACAAGGAACACTTACCCATTTACAGCCAATACAGATTGCGTAGAAGAACCTTCTTTGAAGACTGACAACATATAAATCTCATCAGCAATAATATGCAAGGAATGTCTAAAAGTACATAATTATACGTTAAAGGTAGTTAAAGTAATAATATAATTTTCACGAATGAAGGAAGTTCACGCACATACCTCTCAGCGAATTCCATGCATTCAAGAATCTGTTTCTCTGAATATACTGTTCCCAATGGATTTTGGGGATTACACAGCATGAGACCGCGGACTGTGAGATTCTTAAACAAAAATAAATCAGTATAGCAAGCATTATCTATAATGAATTCGGTAGTTCATAGGCCTGGAAGAAAACGTTTGAAAGCGCTTGAAGAAATAAAAAACGTTTGTTTTCCTCTAAATTTTCTTTTACCATGAATGCACGTTAGATTTTTACACCGCAAGCATATCGATCATCATTTGTACTGGTTATACAGGATATAATTATAGAGGTTTAATTTCTGACAGAACGATAATAAAAATCGTGTGTTTCAAGTTAACTGATTTACCAAAAACTGTAGTCACGATTTTAACAACCGGCCACACTGAATACAAGCGTTTTATATTATGTGTTTTTTAGATTATATATATCTACTTGCATATCAATAAAGTATGAAACACTTGTTTCTATGGCGACGGATTTTACCATTTACAAGTCATCTGACTGGGGTTGCGATGAATTGGTAGCTCGAATTTCCGGGTTTGCTAGTATCTATCAAATGGGTTCTTTCATTTCAAATAGAAACTCTTTGGGTGTCGCAAAATTTCCTCGCAAGCTTCACCCAAAAATTACAAAGTTGGAACTTGATCACAGCTATAAAGCTCTGCTGGATTAATTTAAATTTTAATTATCCAACCTGTGCTGTTGCCTTGGCAAAACTTGTTTCCAGAGCTTTCATTGTAATTTCAAATGGCATGTTGGTCTCTGGATGAGGCTAAAAAAGACAAATAATGCTCTACCTATAGTCATTATTACAGCATTTTTAAAATGTACATATAACTTTCGCGACACCATGACATCCAAGCACATTGTGAAATTTAGCTGGTCGTCATTGTCGTGAACAAGTAATTTTCACCAATGAGAAAGAGTTGAAACTTAAGTTAAATTTCTGTGTTCTGATCGGTCATTGTTGTATAGAGATAACACGGGGAATTTCATTACACATAGAAATAACAAGGGTAATTTCGTATTAAAGTGCCTACATATGTCATGTTAGGGATAACAGACTTTTTAGATCGTTTATAGACGATTTTAAAAACTTTCGCCGGATATTTGATGTCGAAAATTTCATCTTCATTGACTTTGAGGGCCTCAAAGTTGGTAATTTTGACTAAAACCGTGACCTTAAACCGTGACTATAAAACGGGACAAGGTATAACTACACGGTGAGTAAAAGGACCGCTCCCTATGCCGCAGTACAATAGCATTTTCATTTGAGTTAGTGTATTAACGACGTTATCATCGTGTTGCTGTCACACGTGCTCTATACCAGGCACATTTATCATGAGGACGTAAACGTCAAAGACGACGTGATCACGTGAAAATGATGAATAAATGGGGTGATACGTCTATACGAAGGTCTGTTCACACGATCCAATTTGTTTCACTTCTGATGGATATCTTATAGTCTGTTGTCTTATGATGTTTATGGGCAGCAAATGCACTGAAGCCAATGCAGTACTGCTTTATCAATAACAGACTATATTCCATACGTCAGAAGTGAATTGGATTAAACAAAATTGGATCGTGTGAACAGACCTTAATATGAAAATGTCACGACTTTTCTTTCAACCAAATGTGCCTAATATGGTCAATGATGTTTCACTGTAGATAACTTAATTCATCACAGAACGCTAACCTCGCTTGACAAATGGACGGGAAAGCGAACAATTTCGTTTTCAATGTATAAATCTTGTTCGAATCCTGCATAATACGGCGTCGGCATTAGGATAGCCTCTGGGAATGAAAAAAGAAGCATTAGATTCGTCAAAATTGTCACAAGTTCTCAAAGGATAAAAAAAAATTGTTCTACTTGAAAGAACTTTCACATTTTTTGTTGCGATTGTCTTCCTTTGGCAAACGCAAAGGGGCTAATATTTCATTTTGACTTATTCATTTTGACAAGTCGCGTACGACAATATGGCGGACAGTCACGTTGAGGATCGTGCTGATGTTTGTGTCAATAATCTCAGCGATTGTCTAGATTTCAACAATGACTACATAGCGACTAAATATGCTGCCTATGATGGAGGAATAGTGAAATGGCACGATAATTACAAATCTGTTTTTGATAAACATGGAAAATGGTGGTCTCCGGGTGGCAAGAAGGTTTGATTCTTCCACGTCTGAAATTGTAATCATATGGTACTCTAGTAAGCTCAATACCCTAACCTTTAGCGGGAATGTCGGTACGCAGGCGAAAGATTATATAATAAAACTTTGTACAGCCTCTGCTTTGGGTAATATCGAAAATATTGAAGATCATCAAAGCATTAGTGCTAAGTTTAGTGAGGACAAATAAACCCTTGCAAGGTTACAGACGCCATCTTGTAGGGGGTGCAAATACAATAAAGAATTCAACGGCGACATGCATGAGTGATAATTATTCTGTCATGACGGGTATCAGTTGCCATTGCATGCATGCATGCATGTCGCCATTGAATTTTCTATTCACTATTGTCTTTGCACCCCCTGTAAGATGGCGTCTCTAACCTTGGGAGGGTGTATTTTAGCTTGGACATTACAATCCGACGTAAAAAGACACTGATTCAATAAGACATTGATATAAATTATATAGTCGTATAACTACAAACCTCCAGGGTTAAATATAGTTGCGGAAAGAGCTTTAACTATCGAAGCACAACCGTTGTAGACAGCAATCTATAAACGCAAACGTATCATTTTTATTTTGTTATACAAAGAAAACATCCGGCCTAATATTTTTTCCTCCAACCAAACGCCTGCACAGTTGGCTAAACTTATGTTGTGCACACATATAAAATATCGTCAGTTTGCGAGGCAAAATACAAGATTGTTGTTTTTGTAAACAAGGGTAGGCATTCTCATTTTGCCGTTTGACATTCGCTGTTCATCCAGTAGTGAATTCTACATATACATGTGAACTGGAACAATAACCCGGTCGCCATCTTCGTTCTCTTTCCATCCCCGTTTCGGTACAGGCGGTATGCGGAAAACCTGGGAACGAGGATGTCTTTGAAACCAACTAGACGCCAGGGCCAGTCCATTTTTATTGTTTTTGTTTTCACGGCCGACGATCGCGCCGACAAAAAGAGCACTATTGCTAAAGTCCCTGATTTTATAAGAGGTTTGCTATTAAATTTCCCTGCTGCTAACTTTCCTGAAATGTTACGCAATCAAGTAACACATCTGTCACAGTGCCCTTGCTAACAATAAATTGCGCCCTAAATCGAGGCATTTGATTTGAGTTTTACATACGTTTTCTGGATCGATTTTTTCCAACGGCTTCATGTAACGTTCGAAAAACTTTGCCATAGATTCACGAAATCTAGGATAAGAAAGAAGGATCATGAATCAGTTTAAACTTGAAAAGTTGATAAGACAATTGAAAAGGACGGCAGAGAATGAACTCAGAGGGGTGAAGGTAAACAATGCACTCCACTAACTTCGGCATTCCACGAAAGTCGCCATAATGTGAGTGTTCTTCCTTGAATTCATTCTGTTCATTCAACTGTAATAAAAGAGAAAATCTGCGCTATCATAATAATAAATGTCTAAACTTGTGAGAACTCTCTGCAGTTCTCGAATTGAAGTGAACTTATAATTTGGATTGAAATGTTTGAAAGACGGTCTCTTGTCAAAGGATGATTCCAAACTTACTTTTGCAGTCACAATATCAGCAATGATCTTGTTTTCGCTGGTGCCCATGTTAATGATACCCTAAAAAAACGTTATTTAAATCTGTTTGTTCAATCTTGTTCGCTCCAATAATATTTGATATTATTTATTTAAAAGAATTACACACAGTCTCTGATTGGCTAATAGCTACGTGTGAAATCGTCATGTCCAATATGTGACGTCATAACGTGTGAAATGTATCGAGCAGGAAAGTCTCGACATAAATTCGAGCATAGACAATCCAAAAGACTTTTGGATTGTCTATGATTCGAGCGAACAAAGTTGTAATGTTCATTGTTTTAAATTTTCGGTTTTTACATGATATGAATATAACAACAAAATTCGGCTCTGTAATTCATTATATATTATCATGTTTAATCTTATACAATAATTGTTAAGTATAAATGCCTGAAGAGAGGTTACTGTTTGCAATGCAAGGGCTCTAGAAGTGGGGATATTTGGCGTGGGCAAAATAGAGCCTCTAAAACAGGACTTAAAATGTCGAAGGTACAAGAAAACGTGGAGGAAAATTGATCTTCACCCATATAACACCGCGGAAATTGGTACCTATAGACTTAGCCGCAATTCTCAATACTTAGTCTTCAAACTTGGTGAGAAAAAAGATTTATAAATATTCAAGAAAATATGTCTTGCACAAAAGATTTGAAGCTTGCACAGGTAAAAACGAATCGTTTGAACCCTGAAAAGGCCATTTCACAGCGGTCAGATCTGATGTGTATGATGAGCTGTCAAAAGAATGCAGAATGCGTATTCAGAACAAAAATTGAACTTTTTAAATATATTCAAAAGGTTTCTCTTTGATGACGGTACAGAAATGCACAGTTGTGAACCAGCGATTAGATTTTCGAGTTGAAACGTCTTAAACACCAAATTCTTCGGTGTTGACTCATGCCCCAGGGGCCAAAATATCTCTACAAAGCCTGCATATTGGGCTCTATGACTGTAATTAACAATGGAATACAAACACTGGTCCATGAAATTTGTCAGTATATAATTTACCAAAGAACCCCTGACAATTTAAAAAAGTAAAGTACATAAAAAACAAATTTGGAAAATACAGAACATCTGAGTCAATGTATGATTGAAAGATGTAGATTGATTGAACATTTTTCACAAAAAAGTTTCACCTGCATCTTGTTTGAAACATATATTATTGCCTCTCAACATTTTTTTATTTTCAGATTTTTTTTTACTTTAAAATTCGAAATATCTGTAATTAGCATCAAATCATAAATTATATTAGTGCCCTCAAGGGTCTATATAATTGGTCATTTCTGCTGGACTGTGACAATCTAGAGAGTAATTGATCATTTTGAGAATTTTTCTGTAATTTTTAAATCCCAGGTCAGGTGGTTGGCCTGCACTACACCTTCCCCACTGTACAAAGTCCTCCTCTGAACCATGTTGATGGTAATTCATGGACCCAATTTTCATTTTATTGCATATATAAGCAATAAAGGTATGTATGAATTAAATCGTCAGGGATTAGATAAAATAGTAAGGTTAAATTTTCAGCAATAATAAAACTATCATGTACAGTCAATATTTAAATGACATATATATGCACAGAGACATAAAAATATATGTGGAAGTAGGTTTTATGACCACTCTGTTCATTGGGATTACTTTGTCATAATTATATAGATATGATCATATGGCATATTTATTCATTCATTTGTAATGTACAAAGAGAAAACTCATCACAAGACCATACTCACATATTGGTTTGCTATGATTTGAAGTGAATATTAGCTAGTCTGTGTCTACAAAAACTTGAAACATGCAAAATTTAGGTAATTTTTAATTTTATGTGCCCACATTGTTTTGGATGAACTGATTATACTGATGCACAAACCCAACTGGATACTATTACAGCTAGGCACCACATTCAAATGTTAATAATAAATGGTATTGATCAGTATTATTATGGGCAAATTAATGATCAATCAATTATCAAAAATAAAATATGCTTGCATTCAATTGTTATTCACATGTTATATATGGAATGTATAATATAAGTTGTTTTATTAAAGTTGAACATGGACTGCAGAGATGGGGGCAGGGGCTGAGGGGGCCCCCAACCCTAGCTATTTCTTGGGAGCCAAAAGTATTGCAAAATAAAAGTCCGACAGTAACTGGCTAACATTTAGCACTTAGCCCCCCCCCCTCCCTCCCACTTTCTGATATGCTCCACAGCCCCTGTGGAATAAAACTGCTTTCTCAACCTCTTTAGCAATGATTATTGATTAATAACTATAATGTTTTCTGAAGACATCAGATTTTTTTATTTATAAAACAATTATAACTGGAGTAAGCAATTAATCTACAATTTTCCCCTATCACTATCAGACCATGTGACTGTGCATTAGTAGGTACAAATGTGTATTTAAGTCACAAGTTCTACTTGTCAAAGGATGAAATATCAGTTACACATCGCAGTTATCGCAAAGACGGACCGTATCTCGCATTCTCGCGCACAAATGGTATCAGTATCACATGTCGAATTGTCGATTCAATGTTTCATAATCTAAAGTCTTTATATGAGATTTTCATTTCACTATGCACCATATTCTCCCGCTCTCTGTTAAATAGTGCTAATATTAAATGCTTTATACAAACATGATACTTCTGTTGATCAAATAAACACATAGTATCAAACATTGCAACATTGCGCAATAGTATAATACCCTTGCAAAGCTAGCTGCTATATTTTTACAAGTTCTGATAATGTAATATTTACTTCAGGATTATCTTCCTTGTCATATGGGTTTGCCAAATATGCTTCCATATAATCCAGTAGAGGAAAATCCATTTTTACGTAGCGATAACATCTTTCCGACAAGTCCCACTCATCCATACTCTTACTCTTAGCCGCCATTTTAGTCTATATGGCAGCTTTGATGGGTCCGAGGCAACCTCGTACCCAGGGTCTTTACTCTACTCGTTGGGAGAAAAGACCCTGGTTGGGGCTGGTCACGTGTCACGCGGATTTCGCGTGGTAAATTTAAATTCTTATCTGGGAGGGGTGACAGAGGAGTTGTATTTAAAATTGAAATTTAGATTGGCCATCATTTTGTTTTGATCATACAGAATTCGCAAAAGTTTGGATTTCTTTTTCGCTAATATGAACTTAAATAAATCTTGGATTGAAATTAAATACATCCTGTTGTCAAACGCATCACACATGTAGTAATATTAAATTACACGAGTCAAAAATTCCGGTGAATCCGGTCAAATTTCACTCAATCGATCTTGAGTCTCGACCGCCGAAGAAACTCTACACAAAACGAAGGGATTGACTGGGTATCGACAGCTATTTCTCGTTGTAGACGTTGTAACTGTGTCGCTGATCCAGGGCACAGTAAAAATCCCTTTCGTGAAAGGAATAAGACCATTTTACGAAACGCGGAGGTCGTTTATGGCAACGAGTTGCGACAAGATATAAACAACCTTCCACATTTGGTTTGCGCCTCGTGTGTTAGGAGATTAAACTTTATTCAGTTCAAGAATATTGTTACCGAAATACGGCGATCATTACAAGAAGATACACGTATTAAACGTGTCGAAATTTCACCTTCTGTGGCAAAACCGTCAGCCAAGGCTCGAGCGAAGCATAGTCAAGGCTCGATGCGATCAATCGCCTGGTTCGAAATCGGAATTGCACGTAAGTATATTTATTAAAATTTATCTATGTTGTTTCTTACAGAATATTCTGCGTTGATAATGAGTCATGATAGACTTAAATAAATGATGCATTTTAATCAGATTCATGTTTCATAATATAAATATGAACCATGGTTTGGTTCAGGATATTGCAGTGTTTCAAAAATTGATATATAATCAAAAAACTGTGATTTGTCTAAATAGTATGAATGATATATTACTTTTTTATAGACTGCACAAGTATTGGATATGGCAAACAAAGAACTTGAGGTTGCCAGAAGAACTGAGCCATCTGTTTGGGGGACAAGGACATATGATGGATGTCAGAGGTGTTGAAAGAGTTGGCCACCAGATGGATCAACTGACACAAGAAAACATTCTTATACACTATACCTTAGCAGGTGAATTACCTGACGAAGATTTGGAAATATAGAATATAACATTGCATGGGAAAACATTCTCAATGCAGGCAACCTCACTAATATTAGGATCATTTCTTGAGGACTGTTCATTTATTGCTTATTAAAAATAATGTAGATAAAATAAGTTTATTTATGTAGATAGAACTATTCCCACATATGCACATAAGATGGAAACAAACTAATAAAATGTTGTCAAGCACAATAGTTTATCACAAGTCACAACTATGTTTAATCTAATAGCCAATAAGACCCCTTCTTTTAAAACACAATGTATATGTGATGTGCAAACATAATTAGCTTAAATAAAGAAATTAAAATATATTGTTAAAAGCACATAACTTTCTGCATGCCCTTGGAAGTTTGAAGCCTGTATATCAATCTTAACACTGCAGGGTTGTTTTCTGTCTCAAACTATCAACACCCTTGTTCTACAGCAAACTCTGCAATGTCTGCTGTAAACATTTACAGTTATTTTCACATGAACAAAGTTGCTTTAGGATTTCTTGCTTTATCTAAGCGGTTTGTGGGACATGGAATTGAGCACTAAAAATAGCCTGGTGTCAAAATTGATTGTTTAGCATAAATATATTTTCTTTTGTGATGTTTAATGTTTTGGTTCTAACTTCTAATTCTAACTTTTCCTATTTAGAATAGTATATTTACTCAAGTTTAAATCTGTATAAAATGGTACACAGTTTGTGTCTTTACTGCAAAACTACCTCAATTGTGAACTAGAAAATCAAATTAAAATGCTCCACAATATTAAAATAAAAATAAAGTTCATTTGTTAATGTGTCAGTGTATCAAGTTGAAATTTTTAAGTTTGTTGAACAGCATTCTAATTTTTTGTCTGCTTTTAACACACAAGCATTTAACCATAACTAGTGGTGGTGTGGAAATCCAACCATAGTATAGTTGGACTATAATCTTAAACTAGTTTACTGATGATTATTTTTGATTTATTAAAAGCAAACTGCAATTATTTAGCATAAAAATTAAAAATTTTATGGCATTAATAAACTGTAAAAGTAAACTTCGGTGCAACAGGGTTATATTTTTATAAAATGCACAGTTTTATATACGGTAATATACCACATACCAGTAAACTATGCAATTTCTCTTCAACTATCACACGCTTGGATTCTGCTCATGTTTAGGCCAGATATTGGCCTTTCATTAAATAGTTTAATTTAAGGCGAAACGACAATAGAAATGATGTTACAGGGCAATTTTAATACTTCTCTCCAGAAAGCATTTAATAGCATATTATTTGTCGCGCAACTTGTATTTCGCGAACACCAACATGGGCAGAAGATGAAAATTTACGGACTTTGTGTACCCCTTCTCAATGCAGACATTACATTCTTCTCTAAATAGGCACTTTCCAGACAAAAAAATGCTTTGGATTGAGAATAACTCGTTTGTTAACAAAAAAGCGATATGGTCGAAGCAAGAACATATATATATATAATAGCGATTTCGAATGAAAGAACGCTACAAGTGGAAGCATGTAATACGACACTCTGCCACACCCCCTCTGGCGATAGAATTTTAATTGCTCACGTGACCAGCCCCAACCAGGGTCTTTTCTCCCCACGAGTAGAGTAAAGACCCTGGGTACGAGGTTGGGGTCCGAGGCAGCCTCGTCCCCGGCGCGTGTTTTATTAATCGGTGTTTTATTACTATTAATCGCGAAGTAATGTTTGTCTCGCCGGAGGACACGCACGAAGCGACAGGTCCGAGGGGGGCACATGCAGTGCATCTGTGCATGTGGCAGAAAACATTTGCGTTACTAGGAGTTATATATTATCGCAAGCGAAATACTGCATGCTTTGGATCCATAAGTGTTTAACAGTGGTTACTGAAATTTTGTTTTCACTGTGTTTTTTCAATCAGATCCCAGTCACATGAGCATATACAATTAATTAATGGTTTCCATGTTTGGATGGCCTGATCCAAACACGCGGGAATGTTGCGAGAGTTGAGAAAAGGGCGCGAAACACGAGCCGAAGGCGAGTGTTTTGCCAGCTTTTCTTAACTCGAGCAACATTCCCAAGTGTTTGGATCAGGCCATCCAAACGCGGAAACCGTTAAGTACTTGTTTTATAAAATAACAACGACAAGGCCTGAATTTAAATTTAAACTCTTTAAACTTTAAATTTTAGTGTTGGATGACCTGATCCAAGCACGGTCTTCGACGAATCAGAACACGCGGGGAGGTAGATAGGTATACCGCTACAATACTTGAAAGAGCAACGCCAGCTTTACTTTGATCATGGCATCGCTATTCAATTTATTTGTAAAGGTCATAGAAAAAGTGTATGCGAAACTTTTAGATAACAGAAACGTTGATATACCCTTGTTCCGTTACATGGTTACCTGTAGCGTTATTTTGTACAATGAATTTCCATCGAATGATTTATCCCCGAGCCGGTGCAGAGCACCGTGCGAGGGTACTAATTCCGCTCGGATATTTACACCCAGGATGTGCAAAGGCGAAATCAAAGTTGTCCGCCATTATGCAATGGACCTCACGCCATGGACGGTCTTCTACGTTATGCGCATGCGCCAGTGTGAACTACTAAGCTCTTGATTGGTCGAGACAAATATTTGTATTTTTAAACCTGCATAACCGTCATTTCGCAAAATTTTGAAGAAACATATAAATATATTTTCATATTATTTATATTTTCGTAAATATGGAATGTATATATTTTTTAATTACATTAGAGGGAAACTCGAATGTGGTCAGGACTTTTTACGGTTTAACAAAAAAAAAGACTAAATTTTCGACCGAATTCACCGACACCGATTTTACACTTGAAAATATTAAGACCCGGCACAGGTATAAAAAGTCATTCTTTTGTGGTAAACACAACTTTGAACTTTAGTATTCTCAAACGTATTTCACTACAAATCTGAATGTGATATGTGATAGACGACATTATAATTTCATTTATAAACTCAGTTTTTTCAAAACATTCACGTGCAAAAACCAGTCGAGGCATAAAACATAAAACTTCGGAAGTCGTATGAGACGTCTGATGTTATATTTCACGGTAATTAATAATTAAAATAATTTACCATAACAGTGACTATAGATGAGTAACTTAACCTTCAGAAAATGGTTAGAATCTTGTCGTATTTTTGCCTTTTTTTCACAAAAATATGAGGGTAAACTTTGATTCTTTGAAAATTTACGGCCGTTGCGAACTTGCGATGTTTGGTTGCGAGTTGCTATGACTACACTACAGTGCTTCCCCTTCCAGAAATATATTTCCATACTTCCCTCTCACATACCAACAATCGATACCAAGTACCCTCCAAACACCCCAACCCACACAAAATTTTCCAACTATCATGTCACCATCCCTATGCTTAACTAATTTGGCTTAACCGAGGCGAGGGATTGCTGCATGCATGTATTTCTAGTTTACTTTGACATTCGAATGATACAGTCGACCATAGCCTTTCGAGGCAAACAAAAATTGCATGATTAAACATGTGAATAATTACAGAGAAACTCATTGAGACCAAAAACCTAACATCAAATGTGTCATGGTTGAACGTCATTTCGACATTTCATTACTCAATGATTAAGATCTTTGTAATTATATATATATTTATAAATGTGTTCAAGCAGTTTGGTACAAATGTGTTTTGCCTTTTTATTATGTTATAATGCAGCTACAATAATTATATCGACATAAAACTTATTATTACATAACTGCATATAGTCGTTCGTTCTCATTGAATTGTGCATGTTCATTACTTCGGCGACTCTACCTATATAGCGGC